TATAGCTACACACATGCAACACACACCTGGATTATGTCAATATTCTATCTAGAATGGCGAGATTTACTTGATTTGGAATTATAAATAAGTGAATAATCGATGAATATAAAAGTACCTCACAAGGTTGATTGCTCATACACTAGCAAAGTAATGGCTCTAATGGCCTTTCCTCTCCTATTCCTTCTCTGCCGATTGACTCTCTCTCTCCCTCCTAGGGTTTTGTTATTTAAATTTTAAAACCTAATCCTATTTATAACTTTCCTTATTGAATATGGACTGTCAAATTTGGAGAAAAAATCTTCATCGTTAAATTTAACTATCTCGTTCTTAACTGTCTGATTTGCCATGCATTTCTATGTGGCAAAATCATGTTCATTTAACTTTAAATAGTTCCTTTGACATGCTTATGCATTTGTGGCTTCCCTTGATTGGTTTTTCAGGATACCTCAGTTACTAAGGTGTCACATTTCGTAAGAATTACATTTTTACCCCATCTTTATTAAAACCTTTTCAATTTAAACCTTTTTATAATTCCATACTACCCCTCATTATCCAACAAATTTTCAATTAACTCCTTTTGAATCCTTTCCATTAATTTTTGTAAATTTCCAAATTTTATTAATTCATTTTAATAACTTACACATTTATTTTATTTATTTTGAAACAATAATATATTCAAAATTCTATTAATTTAAATTTCAAGCCCTTTTTTTCTAGTCATTACAATTCCTCCCCCTTAAAAAAATTTGATCCTCCGAATTGCTATACTACATCAAATAATTGGGGGTTCATGGCTTTAAAATTTGATTCTAATTCCCAAGTAGCTTCATATTGTGAGTGGTTCTACCATAAAAACTTGACGAAAGGGTGTTTCTATTGCAAAACACCTTCTCTTTATGATTTACGATGCAAATGGGTACCTTTTCATAGGATAAATCTTCATGGACTAGAAGTGACTTATAGGATAAAACATGCAAAGGATCGTGATTATACTTATATAGCAACGACACATGGAAGATGTTGTAAACTTTGGACACCTCTAGTAGCACTACTAACTTATAAGTAGATACTCCAATTATTTCCAAAATTTTGAAAGTCCCGATAAAATAGGGATTTAGTTTCCCCTTCTTTCCAAGTCTAGTAATACCTTTCAGGGGCGTGACTTTGAGAAACACATGATCACCTACCACAAACTCCAAGTCCCTTCTTCGAGTATTTGCATAACACTTTTGTCTATTTTGAGCTATCTGGATATTTTTCTTAATCTTGACAATGTGTAGTAGTCTGATCTACAAGGTTTGGACCAATTAATTTTCTATCACCCACTTCTTCCTAATAGATTGGTGACCTATAAGGTCAACCATACAATGCTTCATAAGGTGCCATACTGATACTTGCTTGATAACTATTATTATAAGTAAATTCTATCAATGACAAATGATCATCCCAATGACCTCTAAGGTCCAAAACACATGCTCTAAACATATCTTCTAATGTACGAATGGTTCTTTTTTATTGGCCATCCATTTAACGGTTGAATGTTTTACTAAAAGTAGCTTGTTTCCCATGGCTTGCTGAAAACTCTCTCAAACCTAGAGGTAAATATGAG